ATCCCTGGAGCATCCCTGCAGCATCCCCATCCTGCATCCCTGGAGCAGCAGCATCCCCATCCTGCATCCCTGCAGCATCCCCATCCTGCATCCCTGGAGCATCCCTGCTGCTCTCCCTGCCCGGGATCAGGGGTGTGCTCGGGGCTGATCCCCTTCACACCGACCTCCCTCGGGGGCCCTATTCAAGCCCAACCTGACTGGGAAGCAGCTTTCCAGCAGCTGGAGGGAATCTGCTGCCTGGCTGCTGGAAATCACGGGGAGGAGGGAGCCAGGAGAGGGGCTGGGAGTGCAGAGCCAGAGGTTTTCCCTCCTCTGCTGTCAACTCCATGTTCTTTTCAGGGAGCAAACTGGAAAGTGTTTGTTTGCAGTGCTGGTATTTCTCCCTGGCTCCTCCTGATTGATCATCTGATTACATTTGTGGCAAACAAGCCCGAGATCCCCCTGGCAAATGTGGGATGTTCACAACTGGCAGCAACAAACCCGTTTGTCTCTCTGGCAAGGTCTGGAACGTGAAATGTGTATTCCAGAAGCAGAGCTTGCTCTCTCATCCAGAGACAGGGAAGTGGAGGGTGAAAAGCTCCAGCAGAAGCTCTTACCCACAGCTCAGCTGTGTGTGAGCAGCAGCCTGGCTCTGCCTCTGCTCTTGGTTCTGTGCCTGGGCAGAGATGCCCTGATTCAGTTGGGTTTTTTCCTCTCAGAAATAGCAAAGGTGTCACACTCCTTTTGGTTTTTACTCTGCTTGCAAACACCCTCAGGCACGAAATACTCCCAGGCCTGATCCTGAGCGAGTGTCACACCCTGGGACTTGTGTCACTGCAGCATCTGGTTTCTGTTTGGGAGGGATTTGTGGCCTTTCAGAGCTAATCTGGCCCTGGCTGCCAAAACACGCAGTCGGCCTTTGCTTCTGCATGAAACACCCCGGAATTCCCTTGGGTTTTGCCCCAGACATAACAAATTTAACATGAAATCTGGAGTTCAGGGTGAATTTTCACGGGTCAAGCTTTCCTGTGGGCTCCAGGCACAGTCACACTGCTTGGCTTGGGGCTGAACTTCATGTTCACCAACAGGGCAAGAGCAGCAAAAGCCACCAGTGCCAACATCCCCATGGCAGAGCTTCCACAGCAGCCTCACAACAGACTCTTCCTCCCTTTCCCAAGGGATTTTGGCCTCAGTTGTTGCCAGCTTGATATTTCCTGCTGAGTGCTGCCAGCCAGAGGTACCCACCAGCTCCTGAGTCCTGCCCAGGACTGTGTGAGAAGGGGGCTCAGAGACAGATTTTCTCCAAAGGGTTCTCTGTTTCACAGAAATCAATGTCTGAGTGAGATGTGCACAGCACAGTGCTGTCATTTTCCTCTGAAATTTTGGAATCAATGGGCCATAGGAAAGCTGTCAAACTGACATCCCTTCTGTCCTGAAGATGCTTCTTGATGCTGTTTACTGGGCTCCTCTGAGAATGCAACAGAGACGTTCCAACTGAGGGAAATAACATCTCCTTTTGGAGCAGGGAAGAGGTGGAAGAGAAGGAAAAGGGGAAAGTGTGTTTGAGGAGCTGTTTTGTTTCCCTGTTCAGGAGTTCTGTGCAAAGAAAAGCACTTTCTGGTGTAGTTTCA